TGAATGCCGCCGGCGATCCAGAATCGTTCGATTTTGAACGATCACCGCAGTGTCAGAAGCCGACGCCTAAGTCAGCACGACACGAACCTGCAGTACCAGCGGCACGTCATTGAGCACCTCGTTGGCGGGTATCCGTTCGACTCCGATGTGCAGGCATGTAGGTGGACAAGGCACCGTACACCAACCCGTTGAGATACACGCCGGGCGATAACAGCACGACGGGGAGCAGCATACCACTGCGAGTTCACTTGCTCTTTCTGCAGCTCCACTGCTTCCGGTACGGCGCGAACCAGCGGTACAGCCTGCCAGAGGACGTATTGCATGGGAAGGCGAAGGCGGGGCCGACGATCAGGATTACATCCTTGTCTCCTGCCCATGGCTTGTTGCTGTTGCTCATCGGCATGACACTGCGATGGCATGCACATTGTGCAATCTCAGGCCTCTTCCAATGACCGTGAAACGTATTTCGAGCTGGCAGTGGACGTGTGCGGTGATGAGGCCGCTTGCCATCCCTTCTCTATCTCCATCTCACCTTCGCTCGTCTCCTTCCTCTTTCCCGGTCCCTCCGCCACCCGCTGCCGCCGCTCTTCCCTGCATGCCTCTGCTCGTCTTCACTGGTCCGGACGAGGGTTTACGACATCTGCTGCGTGCAGCTGGTTTCGTTCCTGCCGCCTGGCGCTCTCCGTGACAAACTGGCGCCTCTGGCGCCGGAGCGCGCCAGTAAAATCAGCTTCTCGTCCGCTCCGACTTTGGTGCGCAGCTGCCTCCCGCACCGCCCTGGCGGGCAGCGTCCAGATGGTTCCGCGCATGCCGGCGCGGGCAGTGTTGGCGTGGCTCTTCGGCGCAGTGTAGGAAAAGGACGGTGAGGAGGAGGAGTAGGAGGAGGAGGAGGAGGAGGAGGAGGAAGAGGAGGAGGAGGAGGAGGAGGAGGAGGAGGAGGAGGAGGAGGAGGTGCTCTGCTTCCCTTCCGGCCTGCACGTGAGAGTGGCCCTTCGTCGGAGTGGCCTCTGGTGTGCGGCTCTCGAGGGAGCGCAAAGGGGGGGTGGGCGCACCGGGGCACGCAGGCCGCTGCTGTCGCACCGCATGCAGCGGTCGGCAGGCTGCGCACCAGGGGCCTCCGTTGGCCTGCGGCCACGTTGTGCGTGCAGCCGACCCTTCCCGAGGCTCTGTCCTCCTAGGCTGTTGTTTCTCGTCTCTCCCTGCTCGCTTCCTGCCGCCCTCTCGCACACCTCCGCCGCCGCAGCTGTTTGCTTGCTTGGGAGATCAAGGTGCGGGCACCGCGGGCCCGCCGCCGAGCGCACTGAAAGGAAGAGGGTTCGTCGTCGTCGTCGTCCCTCCTCCTCCCTCTTCCTCCATTCTTAGTTTTCTGGCAGCGGGCCCTTCCGTTGGCTCTTTCTTTCGACGCTTGTTTTTGGTTGTCTTATCTCGGGTCTGGCCCTCCCCGCCGCTGCGTTGCGGTGGTCTCGCTCGCGTGGCTTCTGCCTATCCCGGGTCTTCGACCTCTTGCTCTTCTTCTCGTCCTCCTGGGGGGGGATAGCCAAACCGCGGTCCGGGCAGTTGCGCGACCGTGGCTGTGTGATCCTACGATGCCTGTGTCGGACACAGGCGGAGCCACGCTATTCATCCATTGTCACGAAGTTCGACTGGGGTTGATGTTGATGATGTTGCGAACGGCTACACCTCTTAATGTACACCGACGATTACCACAATCAACGCAGGCGGAGCGTTCCAAACATGGCGTTGCCTTCGAGGGTGGAAGGAGTTGTCATCTCTTCCGTGGTGGAAGGCGGCGGAAGGTCGGCGGAAGGTTCGGCGGGCGTAAGACGAGGCCGCCTCCGCCGGCGGAGGCTGGCGGAAGGCCGGCGGAAGGCGGCGGAAGGAAAATATGCGCCCCCAAGGGATGAAGACGCTTTTGGGCCCAGGGGGTAGACCGTGCCGTCTCGCCCTCCTGCTGTGCCAGCGCAGCGGCTCTCGGCGCCGCCGCCGTGGCGGGTGCCGCTGCGGCCACGGTGTTCTGCTTGCCTTGCGCGCAGACCTCGGCGGCTCGCCTCTGGACGGTCGAGGTGCTTGCGCCGGGGAAACGATCGCAGGGGAATGGCGCGTTGGATGGGATCGGAAAGGGGGGGATCATCGTGCCGTGGGCATTTTGGATCTCAACTATTTGCGCTGCCCCCCACCCTCTCCCTGTGCCTCCACCTCCCTCTCCCTCTCCCGCCCCGCTTTCCTGATCCCCTGCTCCTCCTTCCCCGTGCTCCTCCTTTCTCCCTCGTTCCTCCTTCCTTTTCCCCCTCCTCCCTCCTCTCTCCTCCTATTTCCTGCGCTCCTCTCTCTCTATCTCTTGCTTCCCCCATTCCTCCTTCCGGTTCTTCTCCCTGCCCTTTTCCTTCCTCGTCTTTCCTCTTCCTCCTGCCTGCCGTCTTCCCTCGTCCCGCTTCCCTCTCCCTTCCCCTCCACCGTTTACCTTTCCCTAGCCCCTTCCTTTCTGGAACTGTGGCCTCTACTCCTCCGCAGCACTCCTCCGCAGCGATGTCGGCCCAAACAGTTCGCGCCGCGCCACGGGCCTCTTGAGCCCAACAAGCATCCGACATGGCTGCCACGGACAGGGGGGTAGACAGCGTTCTGATTGCTATCTTGAAGAACACAAAGCGGCATAAACATAACTTTGGGAGCTCCGCGCGGATTTCTTGGATCGTCGCTGGACCCCCTCCCTAGCGTGCGGAGCGCGCCAGGGGCGGCGCCTGAGGCGCAGCCAGGGGGCTCCGGCGCCGATCCGAGAAATCCGCGCGGAGCTCCGACAGCTGATGTTGACGCCGCTTCTCGTTCCTCTACCATTGCGAGCGTCCTCCGGTCGAAGAAGCTCCGGAGCTCCGACCTCTTCCGGAACACCAGCTCGGGTGTTGCTAGAAGTGCCCCTGGCCCAAGGTGCCCCCAGCTCGATGCGCTCCATCCTGGAGCCCCTGAGGGCCCTCTGGGCCTCGAGGGGGGGTGCTCTGGAGGCCCTCTGGGCCACCCCGAGCCTCCCGGGGGCGCCGTGGGCCGGGGGCACTCCCAGCAGCACCCGGCCAGCGGAGACGGCCTGGCGTTCCCCGAGGAGCTCCGCGGCGCGCTCGAGGGCCTCGGCCTGAGGCTGGAGCCCGAGCAGCTCGCGGCCCTGGCCGCGCGGCTGGGCCCCGACCGCAGCGGCAAGGTGGGCCTGAAGGAGCTCGAGAAGGCCCGGAGGGGGAACAGGTGCCCCCGTGGTCGGGGTCGGCCAAGAGGGGGGGTCGATGACCAAGGGGGGTGGATATCATGGCGGGGGCCATGAGATCTTCTCAGACGTCACGGCGCCTCTTCTTGCTTCACTGCGTCCCTGGCCCCCCCCCCGGGGCCGCGCACATGCCGCTGGTCATGATTTGCACCCCCCCCTCTTGGACCCCCCCTCTTGGCCGCCCCTGACATGGGACGCACAGAGAGCCTGGTAGTTTACGTCCTCCTTGGAGGCGCGCGTCCGACCCGAGCCTATAGTTGGTATGCCCATCTTGCAGCACATCGTTTCCCGAGCGGTGTGGCCCGAGGGCGCCCGCCGCGGCGCACATCCCAGACGACTCCTCGGTGCGCGCGTCGCCCCTTGGGGGGGCGAGGCACGCACGGTGCTAGCATGCTTGGGTGGCGCCGACGCCACGCTGTCGCCCCTGCCCCGCTCTCGCCCCTTTTTGGGCCTCCTGGGCCGCGGGGGCCCCGTCGAACTTGAGCTCAGGACGCACCCCAGGAGAGTGCTGGGGAGTCGCGGCATCTCGGCGCCACCCCGACATTTTGATATTGTGCGTGCGTGCGTGTGCGTGTGTGTGTGCGTGTGTGTGTGTGTGTGTGTGTGTGTGTGTGTGCGTGTGTGTGTGTGTGTGTTTGTGTGTGTGTGTGTGTCTGTGTGTGCGCGCGCGCGTGTGTGTGTGTGTGTGAATGTGTGTGTGTGTGTGTGTGTGTGTTTGTGTGTGTGTGTGTGCGTCGCCCCCCCCCCCCCCCCCCAGGGGGCGAGATGCGCGCACCGATAGATGATAGATCTTCCCGTATATGCGTCGAGGCGGGCGCTTCCTGGCCACGCCGCTCGGGAAACGGTGTACGACTGGATGGGTATACTGTATGTTCTGGTCGGACGCGCGCCTCCAAGGAGGTTGTATAGTACTAGTATGTCTCTGTGCGTCAAAGTGTCGGTGCCTTTTGGTTTCCCCCAAGGCCATGCGGCAGGCGGAGAGGCAGTCCGCGGCGGCGACCTCGCCGAAGCCCGTCGGGGCCCAGAAGCCCCCCAGGGTCGCCCTGAAGAAGGAGGACAAGGAGGAGTTCCGGCAGGAGAGTGTTTCTTTGCCCTCTGGGCCATGACGCGCGTTACTGTATGCCCCTACCCCCCCGCCCCCTCCCCCCGCCCCTTCCCCCATACCGTGGCGCTCCCTCCCTCAGTGCGTCCCTGGCACTGCCGCAGTGCGTCCAGCACCGCAGTACTGGGGCGGGGGCGCTGCCCCCTCCCGTCTCCCCCCCCCTCCCTCCCCTCCCACGACGCCCGTTGTGGCCGCGAATGCGAAGATGCGCTCCAGATCTTCGGCCTCTTCAAGCAGCTGTGCCAGGCCGGGGGGCCCGACGAGCCCGAGCTCGTGGACTGGGACGAGAGCGGGGACATCGGCGTGGACGAGCTGGAGCAGCTGTTGGAGACAGTGGGCCTGAACCTTAACAAGGCCGAGCTGGACGTCATGGTCAGAGACCTCGACAAGAACAGCGACGGGAAGATTGTTTTCGAGGAGTTCTGCTCCGCGATGACTGACCGGATCCAGGTGGGCTACTCTCAGCAGGAGATAGTTTCCGCCTTCGCGTCGTTCCAGAAGAACAGTCCCGATGGTTTGATAAAGGTAAAAGACCTCAGAGAGGCTTTGAAAGCTCACATGTACCAAACGATGATCGGCGCGGAGGTCGACGAGCTAATCCTCCATTATAAGGACTGCTTCGTGAAGCTGCCAGGATCAGACGAGGATTATTTCAATTTCCAGGACTACATCAATCTAATGCAGCCTATCGGCTTCGGCTCAGAAGACGCCACCTTGCGCTGACCAAGCTAACTCGTCAAAGGATGGGGTGCAGCGGCGTCTTGCGAGCAGACCTCCCCTCCAACATCCTCCCTTATCCCCTCTCTTCCTGCTCCCCTGGAAGCCGTTCAGGATGAGACGTTGCCAGCTTTTTGATCTTGGCCGGTCTGCGTGGGAGTTTTCTGTTTGCCAGAGGCGGCCTGCGGCGCGTGCAAACAGTGCGACGCGCAGGGCTGTGCTGCAGCGGCAGGCCATTGCGCATTACTGGAGCCAGTTGTTTTTGTTTTTCACTCGATATGTCGGATGGTTGTCCTTTATAACTTTGAACATTTTCGTTTGCATGTCTGAAGCCTCTCCAACTCGGAAGAGTGGATACGCTGGCAGCTTTTCCAATCCTTGACGATCTGCTTGTTCCCTCCAGTCCAACCAGGGAGGATCTCAAGGTGAGTTGCATTTATCAGTGCAAGTGAGGAGGGGTGTTGCCAGCGAACCGAAACTGGGGATCATCCATCGCAGGCCCAGGGGTCTTTCATACATGCCTCTGCGGACCTTTTGACCTGAGAGCTTTTTGCAGGCGTCTTGGGGCCATCTTGGGGTGCTCTGCCGGCCCTCTTGTGGGCCTTCGGGGACCTCTTGTAGCCAGCTCGGAGGACAGCGACCAACATGAGGGGGTCCCAATTACATTGCTCCTCGGGAGCTGGAACATCTAATCTTGAGGCACCCTGGGGACGCTTTTGGGGTGCTATCGGGTGCCTTCGGGGCCGTCTTGGAGCCCAGAAGGGCCCCTCGGGGCTTCTTTGGCAGTCTTGAGGCCCACCTCGAGGCCTCAGAAGCCCATCGGAAGCGAACGGGCAGGATGGCAAACATCGGTGAACAGACGTGGGTTTCTGAAGGGCTGCGGGCTCCGAGGTATCCTTGGGAAGCTCCGCGGCAACCGGGAGCCGTCTTGTGGGTGGTCTTGGACCCTCCAGGAAGTATGCTGGAGGTCATCTTGGTTCATCTCGGGATATGTCGTGCGCTGCCAGAGGCCATCCTTGCCTATCCATGGCTGTATGGGAGCCATCGAGGGCAAGCTTCGACGCTCCAGCTGGTCGCGCCGCCCCCCACTTCCAGACCTGGGAGGAGGATCTTCTAATCACATTGGCCAGCCCCGCCGACCGTCCCTCGCCTGCAGCACCAGCGTGTGCGGCTCCCGTCTTGGCCTCGGCAAGGCAATGCAAGACAGCGCGGCGCGGTGATATCCACCAAGATGTCACGCGATGGTCCGCGATGGCCTCCACTGGGCCTCCAGAAGAGGCCTCCAGACCGTCCCGAGCCGGCCAGAGGCGGCCACCAGACCTCCCCTGCATGGCCCCTGAAGCCCAGGCGTTCAAAACCCACGGGCTTCTTCATAATGCTGGCCTCCTCGCCTTCCGTCTCCCGATCGGTTCTTAAAGTCTCACTCCTCCTCCTCCTCCTCCTTCTCCTCCTGCTCGGGTCGCCTACGGCCCCCGGGGAAGCCGTGCAGCTCGAGGGGCGTGCGTGCGTGCAAACGGGGGATCAGTCAGAGCGCCGGATCTAGCAGGATCCTGCAGAGCCAGGGGTGCACGGACCCGGGCTGGGGTGCAGGATCCCGCAGGATCCTGCAGGGTCTTGCAGGGCCCTGCAAGACCGGACTGACCGTGGTCACCCTGGTCTGGATTGACCCGGGTCAGCAGGTCCCCGAGCCACGCTGGTCGGAAGACGGCCCGATATGGGGGCTCCTGAGGTCTGGAGAAGCAGCGGGGAAAAGGTTCAAGAGAGCCCCCAGAGGGATCCAGAAGGCCAAAATAGGTGCCAGCAGGGACCCCCGAAGAGTTTGGTAATGATCCCAAGAGCTGGCGGCGCGCACACGGGGGCAGCGCGAGGGGGCCGCCTTCTAAGGCCACCCTCCTCCTCCTCCTCCTCCTCCTCCTCCTCCTCCTCCTCCTCCTCCTTCTCCTCCTCTTCCTCCTCCTCCTCCTCCTCCCTCCTCCTCCTCCTCCTCCTCGTTCTCCTCCTCCCTCATCCTCCTCCCTTGTGCGCGCCGCCCACAACAGGTACCCCCGCCCAGCCCTCCGACCCGAGGCTCCGCCCGCCAGGGATGGCCACCTGTACCCCGTCCTCCTCTCCGCGGCTGCAGCTGGGGGCAGCCGCCGCGCCAGAGTGCCAGCCACGTCCTGCCCACAGGCACGGAGGAACACGTGGCGACGTGGGAAGGGGGGGGGGGTGGCGTTAAGTCGGGCCTGTCCCTCGACAGGAGGAATATCCCCAAATAGTAAAACATCGTCAGGGGGCGGTTTGTTTAAAGTATGTTTGAGAATGTTTGGTGTATGTTTTGAAGATTTTTATTTTTCGTCCCAAATCCGCCTGTGGGGGGACACGCCCGACCTAAGGGTAGCGGAGCGAGTCGTTTTCCAAAGGGGGGAACGCCCCCGACCCCCTCGGGCCATGACAAAATTCACGACGCGAGGTTTTTCGCCCTTCTCGGCCCCAAGGGGCCGGCCAAGAACGGCTCGGGATGGGAAAGTCACGACGTCGGAGCATCTTTTCTTCTGAGACCGCTCTCTTACTTGGGCGTCTTGACGTCGCCGTAGCGCCGCTTCATGCATGTACTGCGTGCTGGGGAAGACTTAGGCCGCAGGCCACAGTGCTTGTGTATGTGGTAGCCCACTTCCCCACCCCACCTTCTCCCTTCCTCCTCCCCCCTTTCTCCCTTCTCCTCTTGTCTCCGCCTCACTGCACCACGTGCCGTTGTCTAAAGAGGTCCTCTTTATCGACATTATGCTTATCCGCCGGCTCGGTCGGTGTGGATTCTCGACCGCTTTCGGCCACACATGGCCGGACGCAGTACGCAGGTTTGCTGCACTCGGGTTGTACTCTGGAGGGCATGGCCGCGCGGCCAGAACTGCCTCGATCTGCGGGTGCTGTCGCGATGTGCCGCTTGCCCATCCCCCTGCCCTCCCTCTCATCATTATCGACCGTATCATCTCATCCTATTTATCATGGCATCCCGTCCCTATCAATCGAAAAGGTAGGTAACCGAAAACGTGCTCGAAGTTGTGACCGAAAACGTCGTGTGACCAAAACTGCGGCCGAAGTTGAAGATCGTCTTGGCTTCGAGCGAAGCATCTCGGTCACACCCGGGCGCGGTCGGAAATTTTCGGGTGCAAGTCTCGGTCACACCCAGGCAGAGATTCGGGCACAGTTTCGGTTACGATGCCTCCCTGATAGAGACGAGGCTACGTGATACTTGCTCCTCACCATCCCCGTGCCAATGCCGCCTCCAGCTTGGAGAGCCTCAGCGCTTCTGTTCGAGCAGCGCCCGTTGCAGTCACGCTGTCCGCTCGACGGCCCACCTTGAAAGCTTGGGTTCCGCGAGGGTGTTCCCGCAGCGGCAGCAGGCTCTGAGCGTGCGAGTCTGGACCTCTGGTACGTGGCAGGGATCGGCGCGTGCGATTCAGCTCAGCCGCCACAGACACCCTCTAGTGGATTACCCCTGGGCCTCAGGCGAGGGTGGCGGTGTACAAGTCGCCACTGAGCGCCCGCGACTTGACACACCGCCACCCTCCCTGAAGGCACAGGCCAAGTTTGTCGGAGGGTGTCTGCGTAAGAGAAACTCCTGGCGTAGCACAGGGAAGAAGTCAACATAATCAGCACAGAAGCGTTCGGACGTCCGCGGGCGGCTTCTCCGCGGCCCCGGGAGTCCCCTCCTCTCACGCTCGTGCCCGGCAGGCGAAGCACCCCGACGGGGCGGGGGTGAGAGGGTCCGTCCCCGGCGGAGAACCGCTCGAGGCAGTCCGCCAGTTCGTGATCGCTCTCTGCTGGGTCCCGCTTCCCGAGCCACGGCCGTGCTCCTTTTGCTCCTTCTTTGTGCCCCCGCCCGCTTCGTTTTAGCGGGTGGGACGGCAATGATCATTCATGGCAGACTCCTGCAAACAAGTCATCCTCGTCAACATCTCCATCATCACGCGCCATCATCACTACCACCAAAAACCTTCATCGTCATCATCATCATCAACAACAGCAGCATCAACAGCAGCAGCATTATCATCCACCATCGTCATCATCACCATTACCACCACCATCACCAACATCCTCATCATCAACATCATCATCATTTTCATGATTCCGTCATCGTCGTCATCATCATCATCATCATCACTTGCATCATTTTCATCATCACCACCATCATCATCACCATCATCATCATCATCATCATCATCATCATCATCATCACCATCTTCATCATCATCATCATCATCATCATCATCATCATCATCATCAGCATCAGCATCAGCATCATCATCATAACCAACATCTCACCATCACCATCGCCATCATCATCGCCATCATCAGCATCATCAGCAGCAGCATCATCATTATCATCATCACATCGTCATCATCGTCGTCATCGTCTTCATCGTCATCGTCATCGTCATCGTCGTCGGCACGTGAGTGCCGGGAAGGGTCCATCGACTGCGGAGTCCCTCGAAGGGGGGTGCTTTAGGCCAGAGCGTGCGTTTCCCATGCCCGCGGCCACTCGACTCTTGCAGGAACCGGTAGGGCTCCTTTCTCCCGCGTGCGGCACGTTCACGCCGTGCCGACCGGCGGCGACCCCGCCGGCGGAGTTCAACGCTGAACGCCCCTGGCGACCCAGCATCGGTCGACGTTGATCAGGAGGAAAAGAAACACACAGACACAATTAATCCTCGATTCCCCAGAGAATACCGGAAAATATGGGAAGTGGGCGGGAAGACAGAAATCCATAAAATACTGGAAAATATGGGGAATATTTTTATTTGTGTGCATTCATTTGTGTGTCCTGGGGCCCCTTCGGTTGAGAGATCTGACGCTCCTTGAGACGGCCGATCCTTCCAGGCGGAGCGCTCCCCGTGGCGCCGAGAAGTCGGCACGACCCGCGAGCCTGCCGCAGGCGGTGGCCATCTCGTTCCGCAGCCGGCCCCCTCGGACATACTGCCGCAGCACGCCCGTGGGCCGGATCGGGCCGCCGCCGCCGCCGCCCC